GCAAGACCCAACACTCTGGATGAGCTTAAGGCCGCTATCGAAGCATCCTGGGCCTCCATAACACCTCAGCAGTGCCACAGGCTGATTGCCTCCATGCCACGCCGCATTGAAGCAGTCATTCATGCAAAAGGATTCCCGACCAAGTATTGAGTGCATAACTGAACATGATTATTTGAAGGTTGGCGTTTTTTGTATTAAAAACACTTGACTTTCATTGGTGGGATGAAATATGCTAATTTTTTGGGACAGGCATTTTGGGTTTTCATGAGCTGTATGCCATAATCATCAGTATTAAAACAATTAAAGACCTGAAATATTTCAGTTGGTGTGCAATGAATCTGAAATATATGAAAGTTTCATTTTTATCATTACATTATGGAAAATAATGACCTTTATCACAATATGCTAATTTTTTTAGAAGGACCTGTGTATATATATATATATATATATATATATATATATATATATATATATATAAGTCATTTAAGATGAATCAAATTGATCCATGCAATAATTTACTTGTTTCAGCACCTCCAAATCTGAGCCTGTCTTTATGGCCTTCCCTGTTTGATCCCTGACATTTATTCTTGACAGCTCTCTTACTTTCTTCTTTTGTGTTCAGCAGAAGATTCACTTTGTTTTTCAAAGTCTACGCTTGTCCGATTCCACCATATTTGTTTACCTACACAGTTTACAGCCAGCTTGATGAAGGTCAGGCTTGTGACTCGAGCTTCCACGTGTTTTCAGCAGATTCAGCCAAATGCCTCATTTGCCCTTTGTTTGCATTTCAGACATGCAGATCAATATATCTGCCAAAATACTGGGGTGAAGTCTTTCAGACTGCACCATTTGATATATGTCAGGATAAACACTTTATTTTTGGACTTATTGAATTTTAAATGTCACTTTAGTCACATTCACAGTAAAATAATTTATTATTTAATAGTTTTATGTCACTTCAAGTTGTGTTAGGTTTATTTGCCTGTTGCGTTTCATTCATCTTTGTGAAAAATGCTCAACCAAGAACGTCTGACAGATTGGATCTAATGTGCAAATTTATTATGTTCAGTATAAACAACTGTTTTAGCACTTTTCGTTCTGTGGCTGAATGTACTCTCAGCCAACTGGTTCTAGTTTCTACAAACCTGCTTGGACTTGATGGAAAAGGCAAAGCTTGGAAACATGATCATCTTTTTTCCAGCACTTTCTGCTCTGAGCAGATTGTCTTCATAAAGTTTTGATGTTCAGCTGCCACCAGATGGTACTGTTGGACTTTATTTTTATGTATTTATTTTTGGTCAGGACAAATAAACCAACCTGTAAAACAAGAGAAAAAAATGGTATTTGTAACCTGATCAAATTTCAACTATTAGGCCTTCTTATGCTCTATATTTGTGTAAAATTAACAATATTCCCTTAAAAAAAAAATAAAGCATTTATTTGCATCCCAATAAATCATTACAATGAACACATTCAGTTTATTAGATATTTAACAGAGACTTGCTGTTTTTTCTAGTAAAGACAGAAACATTCATCGACTCCAACATTTATTAAGTTTTGTCCTAATTTCTAAATCTTATTCTCAGAGAGACTTGCCTTATTTTGTAGAACACTTCATTTCCATCTCATCATAAAATAATCTGGGATATATATGAAAAACTGCATTTTGTTTTTGTTGGTGGATTTTAAGCAAAGACCACTATCTGTGGCTGGGAGTTGGATTAAAGAAGTGGCTAATCGGCTAAAAAACCATTAGCACAAACTGATTTTTAAATTTTAATATTTGTATTGTGTAGTCACAAAAAATGTTATTTATAAATTTGCATAAAATTGAACAAGAAAACTGCTAAAACTAATATTTTTAATTGCAGTAACAGGCCAAAATAATTTTAATTTCCTTGTTTTTGTTGGTTAAAGCGCTGCAGAGGGAGCAAAGAGTCACAGATCTGCACTGGGTTATGCTGAAAATAGCATTATCATCCCTGCTGCCTAAAACATTTAATATATATGTGTGGGGTTTTTTTTAATCCCGGCTGTTTCAGACCAACTTGTGCATAAGTCTCATGGGTTTTTAGTTGATGTCTGTGTTTTGCCGTCACCAGGATTAAAAACACAACTGCAGGCCTCTCCCTCAGATGTAAACAAATGACATGATGGTGCAAAAATCTCCCAGCTGACCATTCCAACCCTTTAGTCTCACAATCTCATTGTGTTAACATTCCTGCGCTGCATTCTTGCCATGCTGACGACCCACGTGTCAGCATGGGAACCAAGGTCTCTGTGGCAAATTCTGAAGCTTTTCCTGCAGCTGAACTGAAAGTCAGAATCAGATCAAGTGCAGAAAACTCTTATCTTTGAAAAGTGCAGTGAGGAACATGCTTGGGGTTATTTTGCATGTTCATCGTTTAAAATCCACGAGCGATGTGCTTGCAGTTCGACTTGAGATTATTGTCCCCTGAAGAAAGCGGCCCCTCTCAGCAGTGGCTGTTGACCCCGTCCCTCCCCCCGGTCTGCACTTGCTGGAAACTCACATTCCTTTCTCAACACAACTTCAAAATCGCTGGTTCTCTCCTCACATTTATTTTTTTCCATTTCCTTTGCCTCCTGTTTTGACTTCCATTCTGTTCAGTTTATTTATATAGCGCCAAGTCACAACAGAAGTCGTCTCAGGGCGCTGAACAGAAACATTCATATATAAAATAATAATCTAACACTATTTTTATCTGAGGAGCAGACTGCTTTCATCGTAGACTTTCATCTTGAGCAAGCTTGAAGGCGACAGTGGAAAGGAAAAACTCCCTCATGAGGAAGAAACCTTTAGCAGAACCAGGTTCAGGACAAGCGGTCGTCTGCTTCGACTGGCTGGGTTTGAGAGGAACAGGAAGTAGAAACAGATACACAATGGCAGGTCGAGAATCACATGTTAACCTAGAAATAGTATCAAATTAAACTATTCAGTTTTAACAATTCATTGAAGGAAATTTGGCAAATTTGTTCTTCAGTAGTATAAGCCTATGGCAGCACGCCAACCCTAACTATAAGATTTATCAAAAAGGTAAGTCTTAAGCCCAGTCTGAAAACTGGACGATGTGTCACCCTCACGTACAAAAACTGGAAGTTGGTTCTACAAGAGAGGAGCCTGAGAACTGAAAGATCTTCCTCTCGTTCTGCTCTTGGAAACTCCAGGAACAAGTAAGGGATCTAAAGACTGAGCCTTGCGTTACACCATTGCTAACAGATAACTGGAAGAAGTACCATTATGTTGAACACATTGCCTACGATCTGAGAGATAGTTAGTGAATCAAACAATGGTGTGATCTGAGAAACCAATTTCTGAAAGCTTATGACATAAGACGTCATAATCCACAGAGTCAAAAGTTTTAGACAGGTCTAAGTAAAATGCAGCACAATAATCCTTCGCATCCAATGCTTCAACGACATCATTAGAAACCTTCAGCGAAGCAGTCATTGTGCTGTGTTGTTTCCTGATGAGGAGGTAGCATGTTCAAGAATTCAAATCCTTTTTGATTTGAGAGTTTATCCGTTTTTCTAGAACCTTAGTTAAAATGCAGAGTTTAAAGATTGGTCGATAGTTGTTCAATATGGTGGGGTTGTCCTTTGAGGCTGTCCTGTGAAACTGCACCACCTCTGCATAGTTTAGCTTTTTGGCAACAGTTAGACGTTGGCTAAGATCGCTGGTCTTTTAAGAAAAGTGCATTTGGCTGCAGCTTCACTCAAGCAGGCCAAACGTGACTCATAGCTCCCCCCGAGAGCAGCTTTCAGCCATCTTGTTCATCTCTGTGTCCATTCTCTTAATGAGAGTTCTGCAGATCGGTCTGAGGAACTGCAAGACATCTGGAGAAACCTCAACAAGAGCATAAAATATTGCATCACCTTCACGTGTACTTCGTGTTTGCAGCAAAACACAAAGAATGGGGCTGTTGTATTGGCTTAATTAAGTTAATGTAAGACAATGTTAGTTATTATACTAAAGAAATGATTTGTATTACTGCAGCATCAACTCCAACAACAGATGCAGCTGTTAACAGTTTACAGATGTGTCTGCATTTCTTTGTATTTTCTTGTCATTTTCACTGAATGTTTCCAGAAACAACAAGCAATCAAACATTTTGAGGGGAAGTTTACACACTTTACTGCTTTGATAACGTTTGTTTGCTTCTGCCTCCTTTTTCTTTGATTGGTAACCATGACAACTGGAAAGCTTTTTGCCTGAAACAACCTCAGGTTCAGACAAATTGACATCACCACTGGTTTAGGATCAGGAGCAAATATAGGTTGGCTCCAAATATTAAATCAGTTGCAGATGCTTACTTTCTGAAGGTTTTAATAAAAGAAACCCCGTGGTTTGTGATTATTTTAAAGTCAAACAGAAAACACAAATGGCAAAAATATAATTCGCCGAATGGCACGGGCGATTAAAACCCAATTTATTTCCATTCACTATGTTTCACAAGTCATTCGCACATTAAATAAGACTGTACGCCCAAACAAACAGCCATGTCACAATCGGTTGCATCATTTTTTCTTTATTTGAGTGATCAATAAATGTACAGCCAAGGACATTTTTGTGCTGCTGCACATGTAAACAATCTGTTTACGTTACAAAGTGTGTCGCTGTGTGTCCATATGCATTCAGTACAGCTGCATAGATAGCAAAGAGGGAGTCAAATCAGTGTACCTGTGGCTGCGATCACAGAACAACACTATAATGTACATCAGTGACGATAATAAAGTACAACTTGGCCATTTTTAATCATTTTTCTACACATTTGTTAGCAAATATCAAATAAAACAGAAACAGCGGTGTGGGTGTGTTTGTTCAAAAATTGTGATTATTTATAGTTTTACTTGAAGAACCAACTTGGACCAAGTTTTAGGTCTTTGCTCTCAAGTAACAAAAATGGAATGTGGCATATTTACACATAAAAATATCCGTTTCTTTTCCTTTAACAAATGAACAGTCAGGGCGTGTACATAAAAAAAAAAAAACACAAGAAAGAAACCAGGGTAGCTTAAAGAGCCACTGTACAGAGAGATTCAGACAGTAAAAATGTACCAGTAACATTTTAGATTTTAGCTTTTGTCCAGTAAAACCCATTCTAAAGTAGACCTCAAGAAGTCCAGTAGGAAAATTAAAAACAAAGTCCTCATGATAAACATGTTGAAAAGTAAATATAAATAATATTATAACAGTTATCACAGTTCCGCAAATACATCTTTAAAGTTCCACAATCGATATTCAAATGGCTGTGGCTCCAGTTTCAGACCAGTTCAGTCCCATTCTGCTGTAAGTCTTTTAAGCAACGCAGCCATCCCTAAAGTCGCACGACGATTTTCACGCCCGTGCTAAAAATCCCAACGGTTCACAGCTGAACAGGAAACAGAGCCCAGAAGGGAAGTGAGGACCGATGTGCGTGGTGGCTTTGGTGGAGTTTGCACAGCTTTTGTTTGCAGCAGCAGTTTCTACATGTAGTGGTAAAAAAATAAAAAAATAAAATTTAAATAAAAACAGCAAATGGATTGCTCGGTTACGTCATAACCTTGAACACTACACGGTGTGTTCATGCTGTATTTTAAGGCTAATGTTAGAGCTTTATGTCACACTATACTGGCTTACAAACACAGGTGGGAAAAAAATAAAACAGAAATAGCTCTGTTCCTCTCCCATATTGGTTACCATAATTTTTGGACTATAAGGCACTTAAAATCCTTTAATTTTTTCAAAAATCGACAGTGAGCCTTATAATCCAGTGCACCTTATGTATTAATTTTGGTTGTACTTACAGACCTCGAACCGATTTTATGTAGTTAGCTGAATAAAGTTAGACTCATGTGTTTTGTTTCTCCTTATAATCCGGTGCGCCTTATAGTTCGAAAAATACGGTAGTTGGTAAAGTGATCCAATTGCATATCTAATTACTTTCTGAGGCATTGATGTTCTGCTACTAAAGCAGAAAACTTGAATTTCTCTATAATAAATAATCAATAATTATGTCATTTCTAACATGAGGCACTGTAACTGCAAACTGAAAACCAAGCCTTTGGTTCCAATCACTGAGGAAAGGAGTGAAAATCCCACACAAAGTTTATAAGATCCATCAGAAATGCAGATTAGAGTACAGAAAACTAAAATCCAAATCATCACACTCACTTAAAAGGCAACGTGAAGACTAAACAGAAAGGTCTTTGAGTGTTTGGTAACAATCTGATGGGGTGAATTAGTTCAACGTTTTACTCTCACAGTTTGTATCATAGACAGCAAATGTTTGAGGTAAAGTTGACAGATTTGTCCAGTGCAGTGCAAGAGTCAGATTTTTATCCAGCTCATGAAAACTTGGGTCATACTGTGAGCTATGACGTCTCAATTAGATTTCAAATCTTTAAATACTGGGGGGGTGGGGAAGGTAGTCACATTTTTCTGGATTCCCATTCAGGAGAGTAGCTGCGCAGCAGTCTGTTTACAGATTCGCAAAAAATTGTGCAAAAGTTAAACGATTGGGGTTATTATTCTGGATTCTGGGTGCGGCGATGAGGCGACGTGATAGAAGGCACTTAATGCCAAAACTCCAGTGACCGCTCGCCAAAGAATCCATTACCAATTCTGTATGTAGTATATAGGATTGCAACGTTGAGTTAACTGCAGCCATGTTAAATGAAAGCAGGCTGGGTGTTTTTGGCTTAGTGTATGAGCTTCATAGACACGTGCATCTCCTTGTCACAGTATTCAGAAATGGTTTAGAAAACCCTTCACATCTCTGTTCCACAAAAGCAAAGTTGAAGTATTAATAACCAGGTTTAGTGGAGCCACACAAGAAATTATTCACATCTTTAAAAAAAAACAACAACATAAAATAAACATAAGTGCCCAGACCTCGACAATGTCAAACACACCCATCAAAAAATAAAAAATAAAGAAACTCAAACAGCAAGGTGAAGATAAATCAGACCAAGACATAACCCCAGCTCCCTCTGCCCATCAGTGACCGACAGGGCCACACTACTAGCAGAAGGGCATCTATATATTTATACACAGTTAGCATCTGGCTGCACGGAGCAGGTTTCCACAGAGCATTTCCATCAGAGAATGATCTTTACAGACACATTGATGCAATGTTAACACCGTCGATCTAACAGGAACCCAAACCCACTTACTCAAACCTGTCAATCTACCGATACGTTCTGAACAAAGCAGAAGCGGAGCGCTTCTGATTGGTCATGAAGGTCCGTAAAAATCGATGTCTGCTCTTTCCTTTTTGTTGTTGGCCTTCATGTAGTTACACGGGGTAAATCTCAAGCTGCGGTGGACTGAGGGGCGCACTTTAAGCACACAGCCGTGTTGGTCGTGTTCCAGCTTCGGTCAACCCAGCACCAACAGTCAGCAGCAGATCCTTCAAGGCAGGGAGTGTAAGTAAAGCATGGATCGTGGTATCTTTATTCGCCTTCATGTCCTCCATTTGACACTTGGGCTCAATGTGTTGACGAATCCCCCCCGGTCAACTCGCTCCTTTAGGCAGCCCAGATCTTCTTCTGCTGGAAGTAGGCCTCAAATCTGGCCTGGGCGTACTCCTACAACACAAGGATTTATGAATGTGGATACGTTTAAACAACTATTCCAGGTCTTCGTAGTTTGAACAAATGTGTTACACTTTCTCACTTTTGCTTGCATCCTGTGGAAAACGTCTATTTTCTTAACCAAACAGCATCACACAGTTAAAACTGCTTCCGATTGTCCCATTTCATGTCCAACAGTTGTTCCTCTGTATAAACTGTACATTAGCAAAACATCACATCGCCTCCCTAACATATGGATGTCCTCTTTTTACTTTTATCGTCATAAAAGTTTTAAGTTTCACAGCTGCTGGTTTTGGGATCAAAATCCAGGAAGTGCCAGCAGATGTTGAAAACGATGCACAGCAACACATTTCAATCAAGAAAATAGTGACAACTAATTACTGTAAATAAGGTGCAAAACTACTATATAAAACAGAGCTATTCAACTAAATTGCTCACAGATACTGAAAACCAAGAGCTCACTGTCATTAATTAAGTTTGTTTTATGGTTTAAAATCTAGTTTTATTTAAAATTAACCTATTGGTGGGTCGAACTGAGCTCACGCATTGGTCTGATGGGCCCCTAGGCTGCCAGTTGAATAGCCCTGATATATAGTGTATGCTCAACCCCCCCCCCCCCCCCCCCCAGTTTGAGTTATTGTTAGTTACACTTGGTAAAAAAAAAAAAAAGTTAAGATTAGTTTTTTGTTTCTGCTCTGTTAGTTTAGATTCTTAAAACTAGGATCTCTCTTCCACACGTTGAGGCACTGAGCAAATATACAGCAGGTGCTCAGAATAATTCGCTTTAAATAAATAAAAATAGATATAATAAGTACTGATTTTATTCTCTTAGTCCAGGGGTTTGCAACCTTTTTTGATCAAAAGAGCCGTTTCTTCTTCGCTCTTTAATAAAACGTGTCTGGAGCCACAAAACCTGCTACAACTGTGATTATCAACTGATGGCCCATGGGCCACTGAGTTTGTTGGAGGGGAGGTTGTTCTGGTCAGTGGGGGTGACATATGAAACTAAAATTATATCATGAACTTTAACATTTATTGATATTTTTATATTTTAAGACAAAAAAAAAAATCACGTAAAGAGGGAAAAGAATTATAATTTACAAGATAAAAATTCAAACACTGAACTCTGCAGCCTATGTGAGGAATAATAAATAAGTACTAGGCAGGGCTGCGGTAGCTCGGTGGCCAGTGCCGCGGTCTTGTAATCCTGAGGTTGCGGGTTCGAGCCCAGGTTGCATCAGGAAGGGCATCCTGCGTAAAACAAATTGCTAACTCCTTCATGCAAGTGGGGACCCCTGAAGAAGGGAGCAGCTGAAAGAAACGTACTACATCAACTATTTACTGCAGGAGCAATAAAGTTCTTATCTTATCTCACTAGTTGTTATCGGGCAAAAATGTACAAAAATTTGACAATAAAACTGCCCAAACTAGCCTTTTGTGTTGTGGGTATAAAAATCAATACAATTAAATTTCATCAAGTTTTGGTGAAAGCTTCAAAGAGCCACATGTGGCCCCTGAGCCGCAGGTTGCAGACCCCTGTCTTCGTCTATGCAGGACTGAACATTTGCAAAAACAAATAAAAAGAAGATTATTTTCATTTTTACAGTTTTATCACAAAAAGTCTGTGCAGATAAAAAAAAAAATCAACTTCCACTAAATATTTCACAACAAACTATCTGGCTTCTTGCTTAAAAATGGGGCATGAATGCATTTTAAACAGGTAAACCACTGGTCTCCACCCTGAGGTGATTGAATCATGTCGGGCTATCGTGGTAACCTCCTGAGACAGACTGTGACCTCGTCTCAACCCTCAGTGTTGACTCTGCAGCCTCCGTGACGTCGGCAACAAACAGCAACTAGAGATTATGACCCAACTCCTCGTAATCACCGAACATTTTAGTGAAGGTAAATATTTGCACGCACATTTCTTCTGGCTGTGAATCTGCAGGTGAGCTACAGGTTTAGGAATAATATGTAGAAGGTGGGAAACCTACAAAACATACACATTTCAGTGGTGATAATTTAACAATAAAAATAAAAAAGGCTCACCAGGTATCCGAACTCGATGGTAGACAGTCGGGCTTGGATGATGGACCACAAACCCCAAAAGAAGTGAGACGCCAGTGAGAACCTGTCAGAAACACAGTTTGTTTAATCATTTTTAATGTTTTTCACTGATTCTGAACGCGAGTAGGACCTCGCACTAAACCAGAACTCACCTGTTTACTTCCACATACAGCTCCTCCTTTAGCCTCCTTTGTTCCTCTTCGCTCTGGGCGTCAAACCCTCGATCGAACTCCCGAAGGTAGTTTTCAATGAAGTGAAGCTGCTCACAGACATAAAAATAAAATAAACAAGTTAGTGGTCTATTAGAAAGAGAAGGTAACAAATAGGGCATGTTAGCATCTGACACACACCTGCTGGGCTTTTGATGGGTAGTTCTGAGCGCTGACTTTGAAAAAGGGAAACTCGTCACAGGTGTAGTCGTACATCCATTCACAGAAATGGTTGCCGATATCAAACCCTCTGCAAAGAAGCCGGACGGAGACGGATTAATACCGAGGTTCCCCAGTGAATACCTTCCGTTTGTCTTCAAGTAAAACTGGATTCATGTCTTGACTGTAAATGCATTTTATTGCAACTGATTTAGGACAAGAACAATGACACACGAGCAGCAGCAGTGAGGAAAAAGTTTCCATTTTTAATTTATTTCACTAACAGAATTTTAATAGTAATTTATTAATATTCCTGAATTACAGGAACCATGCTAAATCAGTGACAAAACAAAAAGTACAAACAGACTGATTAATGGGACACTTTTTAAAGACTGGCCTGTGCTCTTATCACTTATAATGTAGGAAAATGACAGAACAGCTGCTATAACCAGCTAACTGTATTTAGTTTTAATGGGATTGCTCTTCTATATAATATTTTTTAAGTGTGCAAATCATTTTAAGGGTTGCAAAATATGTTTATTTAAGTTAAACAATTATTGTTACGTTTTGTTAAATAGAAAATACATATGGGCCAAAAATAAGAATAATCTGTGTTGCACAGTTCAGCCATCCCTGATTTCTAAAGATTGTCATCGTCATAACTCGTATTGATCAACCTCTAGTACTTTTAGTTGTTAAAGTTTCTCTGAAACTCAATTCAGTTTGCTCTCTCTTTCATAAAAACTGAGCTTTTTTTAGTCTGATATTTACTCTCCGCTTATGTTCCTGAGGCTTTGTTTGCAGCCAATAATTTAGTAGTTTTGTTTTTTTCATATTTAAAAATAAATAAATACACTGAAGCTCCTGATTTGATACCACCCGATGTCCAGTAAAAAAAATAAAAAATACTGTAATACTAACTGGACAGCGGTAGTGTTTTTGTTTTAATTGAGCCATAAATGACATTTAATTTAATTATGTAAAATTTGATTCTCAGTCATCAGGACAAGACAATCTTAAGTGAATAAATAAGAGAAAACTGGACTTCTTCTCATTCCTTAAAGACAATGATTATATATTATATAATTTTTTTCTTATTTTTTCCTTAAATAATTTGGTCCAGAACATTGAGCCATATGAGAACATGCCATAAAGTAGCACTTGTGTTTTTTTTATCCACGTGCTTGACTCGGCCCGGCTTCAGAATCGTTCCAGTGGGTGATCCCACCTGCTTAGGACCGACTCAACCGAGGTTTTAAGCGTTTGTTTTGGTAGTTTTCTTTCTACTATAGAATACCGGTACATGCGTTAAATCGACAACACATAAACCTATGAGGAGGAGTAGACATGTCTGCACTTATGACAGAGTTTAGATGGACCGAATGGATTAAATTTACAGGTCTGACTGGTGGTCTCGACTGGATGGTGAGTGTTTTGTGACTTTATTTCCTTTATTTGCCCGTTGCTGTGCTGCGATCGCCTTGGATCGAGAATAATGTTGCAGAGGTTTCGAGCGGCAGCACTATGATGATGTGCACACAAGTCGTACTGAAAACTACGAAGACTGCATCAACCTGAGCAGAGCTGAGAGTCGTGGTCACACTGAACAATGCAAAAGCAGCATTAGAAGCTACTTCCCACGCTGCTTATCTGTACAGGTGGATTGTTTTCAACACAACACCTCCCACTGCTCAGTGGGGACGCTCCAAACCCGGCTCGTCCCCCCACCTCTGCTCCCTCTTTTAGCCAATGTCTGCCTCTAAAGACAAAATACCCCAAACTCCCACTGTATGGTGTGTGTGTGGAGGGAGGGGGAGGGGTGGTACAGCATCCCGAGGTCACATGTTTGTCATATAACATTCTGAAAGGGTAGCCTTAAAGGGGATAGGCTGAAAGAAGATGGGAGGAGGTGGGAGTTCCCAGTGATCTGCACCATTTCCCATAAACGAGCCACTCAGGAATTCACACACACACTGTTTCTGATAATCTGAAGTGGAAACACACTGCGTCTCCCTCTCTATAAGTCACACTGACAGGTCTTTCCATCGCCCCTCAGCTGCCTGCCAAGTCACAGTTATACAACTGCTGCAAATACTGTAACAGACTGAAATATGGCCGCCGGAGTCGACAAAAATCGATGAAACAAGCCAAGCTCAATCCTTTCTCTTCCACCGTGAACTTTACCTTCTTTCTAGGACTTTAGATTATCAGTTCCCCTCCCCCCTCGTCTCGTTTGAGGAGATTAGAGAGAAGGGAGGAGACTAACTGGAAGGAGGATGGTTGATGGGAGTTTTTTTTATTACTTTTTTCTACTTCATATTTAAACAAACATCCCAAAGTGTTCAACTTTAAATAAGTAGGACTGTCTGATAAAAAGCAAAAGTATATAAATTATACTTAAATGAAAGAATGCAATGTATGAACACTACTAATTATGTTTTAATGTCATGTCTCCTGAAGCTTGTTAATCAATATGATGGATGCATTTTAATCAATAACATTATAAAACTCATAAAAATATAGAACACTTCTAAAAGTATGTATTTGTCCAAATTCTTACTTTCAGACCTTCATATTTTTTTTTTTATCCTTTTCTTCTATTTTTTGTGTTTTTATAAGTACATTTTATTGCAGTTTCTTCAGCTTTATGTTGACCAGATTTTACAACAGTCTGACAAAAGAGATTATTGGTGTCCATATTTACTGTACATAAGAAAATACTACTGCAGACATGTGAAATTAGTCTTTATACAAACTACTTGTAGCTGTAGATGAATAAACCCTCGTCCACAGCAGCTGGTCAAACATGTATTTGTCTCATGGTGTTTATTTGACCTCCACCTACATTACTTAAATTATTTATTAACCTGTAGCCTGACTTTTAACTTGTCAAATAATTCTTTTGGAAATAGCTTAAGATGGCAACACATCTGTGTGCCATTTTTTGTGACCAATCATCCAAAATGTAGTTGTTGCTATGTGTGGCAAAACGTAGCATCAAATTATCTGTGCACGTATTGATATTTTATCATAAAAAGGTATGGAAACAATAATCAACCAGCTCTGCTTGCTGCTAAATTACCTGTAGTTGTAGCTGCTGTACTCAAAGTCGATGAGCATCAGCTTCTGTTGGTCTGAGCGCTGTCGGCCCTTCAGCAGCAGGATGTTTCCTGGAAAATAACCAGAAACGCAAAAATAAGTTTCCTTAAATCAACAAAAAACAAACAAGAAGAACTTAAAGAGGATCGGTGTTGACGTGTTTTACCTTCCTGGCAGTCGTTGTGGCAGAAAACGACAGTGGAGTGGGTGGACTCCAGCAGAGACCTGAGCATACACAAAAACCATAAAAACACCAGAGATCAAGGAGATGATTGTTGCATTAATGAGCTTAATAAACCTGCAGTTTAGCCTCAATCAGGCAGTTTAAAAAGGTCAGATGTTTGGAGGAGGTCCACTCTTCTGCAGAAGACGACGCTCAATACGCAGCATGAAGAATCACATCTTCATTCCGCATGCCTAGTGGGTTACTCACTAATCACTAATCATATTGGACTAACCAGAGGACAAAGTTTTCAGGACAAAGTGACACCAGGTGCCACAGCAAAGCTAGGGATGAAAAATAAAGTGCAATACAAATAAACAAAACAAATAAATGTACTTTATTCTAGTCGACCATCACAAAATAACCACGTTTCTATAAATGGCCATAAAATGTGTTTTAATATATTTATGTATCTTTCTTCATGTTTATTTAACTTGGCCATCCATACATAGCAAACAAACAAAACCAGATTTCCCTGAGAGTTGTTCTTATTGAACCACGATACTGTGGCCTAGTCTTCACTTACATGGTGTCTTTTTAGTGTCTTCAGGGTCTGCAAAGTACTGTGCGTTGTTTCTCGTTCACCCATTCTCTCTTTCTCTCACAGACGCACACACGCGTATTCATTTATATTAACTTACACCTTAGCCCTAAACCCCCAAAAAGAGCTTCAACCACACCAAGACCAGGTTTTTGTCCCCTTCAGGACTACTGGTCCTGACAAGGTGAGAGATTTTACCTGAAAAGGTAACAAACACCAGGTACATGTACATCCAGTATATATATATATATATATATATAAAATATATATATATATATATAT